TATATATATATATATATATATATATATATATATATATTATATTAATTATTGGTTCTCTTTTAATGAGCCCCACTCAACTTACTGAAGTCGAGCTTAAAAACGTCAATGTTGATATTGGAACAAACCGCTATTGGAACAGCAAAGCCGAAACAGCAATGTATTACAAAAATGTGAATGTAACCCCCACCCCTTGTTTCATCAAGGAAGCTTTTGGTCTATCATAGCGTTTTCATCGACCATCAAGCCAGTGGAGAGGAATTTTAATGACCCCCAAAAAAAGTCAATAAAAGTCATCTCCATATATTTACGTTGCATTGCATGAGCAGAAACCGCGTCATGTGTAACACCACATCCGTGTTTATACCTGTCGATGTAGTGTGTCGTTACTTGTCGTTGAAGGTGGCCAGTGTGAGGTGCGGCAGATTATTGAGCGATAGCCTGTAGGTCTCGATGAAGGTTATTATGTGAGGTGTTTAGCTGAACAAACGTATGCGTTTGTGAAAAAAAGGATATAATTATAATCCAATAAATAATAATATTGTAAGATTTCGAGTGTTTTGAATGATACGAGGTGGAAAAAAATATTTAAAAAATGTGACTTTCCCCCCCCCCCCTTTACCCCACCATGCACACCCCTCACCCCCTTTTATGAATCCTCCATTAACTTCCATTTGCTTAAGGTAGTTCGTTATCTTGAACGCTAATAAAAAATAAATGTTTCCAATTTAAACACAAGGTTTTCCCAGCAACGCAAAAAATTGAACCAAAAAAAAAAAAATGATTTATTACAACTGTGCGCTGACGTCATACGTGCTAAAATTTATCTCAAAGGTTATTTCCCACCGTGGGTGGCTAGGCTGGCATCGTTCTCATTTAGTAGGTAAGTGGCACAACACATTTAATGTAATTTTGATGGACTCAATTACATTACATTACGAGATTTTCTTTTAAATTAGACACACACATTTGTCATACATTAACTTATTTCATTGGCCTTATCGTACATGATTTAAAGCACTCATTTAAAATCGTGTTTTATTCAATTTTCCTAATCATTAAGTAGAGTATCGGGAAAAAACAAACGGTGCATGTGTCCTGGCTCTACGTATCTGATGTGTCCTGTCTCTATCTATCTGATGTGTCCTGGCTCTATCTATCTGATGTGTCCTGGCTCTATCTATCTGATGTGTCTTGGCCCTATCTATCTGATCTCATCACGTTAAACATACTTTTCACAAAACGCATTTTTTTCGACAGTGATCACATATGATTGACCAACTCAATAACTATTCCAGAGATCAGCCATCGGATCATGAGTACAATTCAGTTCACATTCGCCGTCTTCCTCCTGATGACGTGCTCGTCACGTGTTCACTCCCAAAGTAAAGTTGTTTTGATTCATTCATACTTTTCCTAAGCCATTCGTTTGGTGTCTGTGTTAAGCTATGTGTGTCTTTTACTAATCTTTATATCTTGACGGGTTTCACCCACTCTAAAGTGTGTATCATACAAAAGTATTTC